ATTGGTTATCCAGAACCTATTTAATAAATTGTAATCTGTAGCCTATAAATTATCAAACTGTTTGGGCTCGGCCTGAAAATAAGAAAATGGAAAGTTCATTTCTGATGTCAAATCTTGTTTCAAGAATTCTGGACACCTTGCTAACAAACTGATGCTTAAAACTACAGTGAAACCTTGTTATACTGCCACAATTTCTCTAACAAAAAAAGATGGCATTATAATGAAAATAAAATAATTGTAAAGAAAAAAAAAGGACTTTGAAATATTGGACTTCGAAATATCTTGGCAGTAAGTGAGGGGTTTAGGGGATTGACAGACAATATAATGATATTTAAGTGTATACACACTATTTAAAGTACTGCCACCTCTATATAAGGACGTGCCACTGCTATATAGTCTATTAACCTGAAAATATCAGCAAGCACATAAATATATCTTGACTTAAACGTTTCTTCTGTATCAATTGAAATTCTATTGAGTGTATTGTATAAATTATTTGAAGAGAAAGTATTGCTGCTAATAGCATTGTATGAAGCCGTTATCGACGATTTGACGGGTGGGTGGGACCATACTCGCTGACCCCAACATGACTAGGGCATTTCTTGTGAAGTCACGAGTACCTCGGTTTGTTATTGATAAAAGAAAAGATGAATCGCGATCCAATTTAAAGACATAATTAAGAAAACGTTATCATAGAGGCGCTACGTAACCTTCGTTGAATTGCAAGAAATTTTTTTGAGGACACTAAAGTATCACTTCAGCTTTTATTGGACTCGGATTGAGTTTTTCTTTCATTACATAAGTGTCGTTTTAGGAATCTTCTTCGTATTTGATCTAGCTGTTATGTCAGAACGATGACTCATTAAATTGTCTGTTATAAAGGTGTAGTCCCGTCAAACAAGTGGCTAGCTTGATTTGCCCTTCACACATTTTAATTTTAAGATAGAATTTTTCTAGCCGTCAGAATTTTTGTTGTTGACAATCGGCGCTCCTTTCAAGGTCCACTGTTCAAAGCATCGAGAGCTTTTACGGGAAAATGAAGAGACTTACATTATCCCTCAAATCATCTTTATTATCTAAATCAGATGGGAGTGTTTGAAAAATTTGAATAACATTTTTTTTAGATTACCTAGGTAGGTGCAAAAATATGCATTGTCATGGAATTCAAACTAAATTATTTTGGGAATCTCTTTATTTTTATTTTTTTCATTTTTTTATTAAGAACTTAGAATAAAAGTTGATTTGGAAATGTTTGCCGTGTACTGACTGTACCCTAGGCGCAGTACGCCGATGTCAGTCTCGGAATCAGGCATAAGGCTCTGATGCCCTCTGAACGAAGGAAAACATCTCTTATCATATATGTATCTGAGTCTAAAAACATCCCACCACTTAACAAATAGACTGGTGTTTGTTAAGATGATTTCGCGTTGGGCTTTCTACCTTTTATCCGCATGAATGAATACACCATATTATCTCTACTCTTGCTACAAATTGATATCGTTGGGATGAATTAAACTTTACACCTCAGCGAATTTGCCCCCTCACTTGACCATATTCTCCTTGGATTTTCGATAAGGGTCCTGTCAGAAAATGGTTGTGACAATTTCTTAGTGTGACAGATAAACAGAAGATTTCGGTTCGATAGTAACTTTCGCTCGAACCCTTAGATGAATTCTGTATCTGTCTGCTGTATGAAGCTAGCCAAATTCTGTATCTGTTCGATCGTATAAATTCCTCACTTGCTGAGTGACATTTGACCAATCCTAGTGATTGCTTTTGTAATTTGAGTGGATTCGTCTAATTAAATATTGTGATGTTGCTTTTTTTGCACCAAGATATACGGCAAATTAAGTGACTAAACTATCAACAACCACACAGCGTAAAGTTCCAAAGCAGAAAAGGGACACCAATACCAGAATAAAGGATTTTCTTATTTTTCACTTTTATTAAATTCTAAATGTCCAATTATCAGTGAAAAAAATAACCTTTCAATCAGCATAATAATACTACTGAAATTCTAGGATTTTAGATTTTTCTTATATATGTTTTAAAAATTTATATTCATACATTTTGTATAATCTGCTACAAAGTGATTGTGTTTTCAGTATAGTACAAATTAATTGATTCCTGCAAACTGAAAAGCTTTAAACTCAGACTTATTTTAAAAATGTAACTGCAAAAATAAAATAAATGAAGAACTTTCCAAAAAAATCATCTATACAGTGTATCATTTTGCATTCCAATTCTTAAACTGGTAATTTGAAAAAATAACTTTGGAGACCTTTTATTTGTATTTCAATTTTGGAAGAATTTATAAGGATGGAGAAGAATCAGGGCAGAACAAATTGTTGTCAGTTTTTTCAGATGTCCTTTTCATTTTTCATGATACAATAATTTATAACGAAAAGTTAATCGTCTGCGGATGCACACATATCGGCTGTCGTATAATTGGTAAATGATAAACAATGTTCGTATTTAAGTGACCTTTACCTCATATGAGACCAAATGAATCCTCCGCCGCAGGAAATTAAACATATTGTAATGTGTAATTTATTGATAGTTTCAAGTACCATATGATTGAATTTGGTTCAATTTATCCGTTATTATAACTAAATGCTTAAAAAAAACAAATTAACAAAGCTGCTTCAATACAGATTTAATCTTCAGGGGAAGCCATTTTGTTATTTTCGGTCCAGTGTTTTGGTTTATAAACAGTGATGGATATCCTGTGATCCATTAATCCTTCCGTCAATCCCAGCAATCGCTAGCAAAGGATACGTTTTTCCCATCATCCTTTGTTCTGAGAGGATCGCAGGGTTTGCTGTTCAATAAATTTTGTTATCATGAAATTATTAAGTATAATGCCGAACGCCAACGTCTGTCTAAATTGGCTGGTAATCGAGTAATAACTTTATTGATTCAGTCCGTAAATTGCAGCTAAAGTGATTCCCTTCAACACCAAACAAATGAAAATTGAATAAAAAAATTGTTTGCATAGTAATTATGCTGTGTTAAATGAAAATCCTTATCCTGTTGTAAGGACTAAGAGCATCGCGCTACAAACATCTCCGTTAGCACACACGTCAGTCGTTCGTATTAAAAAGAACTCTTCTACACCTCAATAGAGATACAATTCAGGGAAATGAGTCGTCATCCGATAGTCCTCGCTGAACAGGATCTGCGATTCTTTGATCTCATCAATATTGTCAGGTAAAAACACATTTAGGAACTTAATACAGAGATATCAACATCTCACTGCTGGAAACCTGGGTTCTGTCACGCCTGAACGAACACGATAAATAATATCAAAATCCTGCACACGATTTACCCATCATCCTTTCAGCAATCTCCCTAGTCCAATTGTTAAACTGTCATGTCTGTAGAAATTAACGCAATTATTGGTTTTAATTAGGAACGAAAATTATAGTTAGGGAGGTTGGGAGATTTGTAAAGAAAATAGATTAACGTTCTCATAAATTGATGACCTAGGCTATAGAGTAAAAGTATTGTCAACTTTAGATCGATGAAAAAATATTTTTATAAATTATACTTTCACTATTAATTTAAAGACAAAATATGATATATACAAATCAGCTCAACAAAATCAAATTCATTCATGTTCAATTTTATAAATTTTGCATCAACTTTAAATATACATTTGTAAAAAAATGAAAAAATAAATAAAATTAAATCTACATTAGATAGAGGTATGCTAACCAGACTTTGGACAATTATCCTTCATGAGTGGTAGAATGCTTGTGCATGGTGACATATGGTTGATTTAGAACAGAGATTGGAACTCGAAGCATGTAAAATCGGACTGCTTTAGAAAATAAATTAATTTATCGGCCCTCAATAATCTGATACTGAAGGATGTTTCAGTGCATTTTAAACAACCTTGTTTCAACAATTCTTTTTCTTTTCTAAATGAAAATATTTTGTCATTTTATTATTTTGATTTTATGTAATATTGAAATCAAATTAAGAAAAAATGATATGACAACAACGATCACTCTTGATGGGGGCCATGGTGGGCGAGTGGCTAGGCATAATTATAGCTTTGAATTATCATTTCTGAGAAGAAAAACATGACGTGCAAAACATTTATGAAAAAATGTTAAGATGATACAAACAAAAAAGAATCTAGAATAGTGTTCTAAGTGATAGGACGCCTGGCTCGTGACCGAAGGGTTGTGGGTTCGAGTCATGGCACAGCACTGTGTTGTATCTTTGAGCAGGATACTTTACTCCGCTTGTTCCTGAGTCTACTCAGCTGTAAATGCATGAGTACGTGGTTGGGCAGTGCTAGAATGCTAGAATGCTAGCTGTGAGCGCCGAAATGGCAGCACCGGCTGTATGCTGCTCAGGGAGTTGAGAAAGATATTGGCTGGTTGCAAATGCCCTATAACCAAGGATAATAATTTGTGAACCGCTTTGAGACAACCTACGAACTTAAGGTTGTGATAAAGCGGTGTATATGGACTTCAAATTATTATTATTATGAATGCTACGAGCAAGACTAGGTTTTTGAACTCTGGACCGTAGAACTTGTCAACGATAGTACCTAGACCCAGTCAGGTTACAGTTATAACCAAGACAAAATTAAGGGGAGGTTATAAACAAAACTACAGTGGAACTCTCTAGTGTTTTACCAGCAGTGGGGCAGTGATCCTTAACTCATTCACCCCTGAAATTTCATAATGAATTATTCCAACCTTTGAATTGGATGAGTTCAAATGTGTCTTCAGGGGTGAATGAGTTACCCCGGTAATACTAAATAGTTCAATACAATTAGTCTCTAGACCATTTTATTCACCTTCTACCTTTCAGAAATTACAGTTGCTATCTTGGGAGAAGTTCCCTATTTGGAGACTGGAAGGTGGTTTCCAGTCTTTCCTAGTCACGTTAAAAATGTTGCCATATAAGGTAAACACGGACCAGATGCAGAGATGATTGATTCTTCCATTATTTCATTCAATTTTATGTTTTGGTGTTTTTAGATGCTGGTGATTGTGACGAAGCCTTTGAGCCGTTGGTCAACCATTCAATTACAGAACCTGATGCTGAGGAACCAGTCAACTTCTCTCGAGCCGATTCGCCAGCTGACCGCTCATCAGATGATGCTGACCATCCCCCTGTGTACATACCAGAGGACATTCCCATACCAAAACAGTTTGAGCTGAAAGAATCAAAAAAGTTTGAAGGTCTTGGTGTCTGGGCTAAAGTTGACATCCCTCCTGGGCAGAAGTTTGGACCATTCACTGGAATCTTGAAGAACAGCCTAGAAAACACATCCTGTGCATGGGAGGTAAGTTTATTTAACTTCTTTTTCCTGGAAAGCGAGGTAATTACCAGAAACCTTGAAGAATTCTTCCATTTCTGAGCTACTGTGTGTACCACATTATACCTTAACTCATTCACCCCTAAAGACACATTTGAACTATTCCCATTCAATGGTTGGAATAGTTCATTATGATATTTCAGGGGTGAATGAGTTAAACATACCCATTGGGCCTTTTTTTGGAATGTAGTTTGTTCTTGACCTTGACAATAGTTAAGGCTTAAATCAAAGATGTTAACAACATCTTCATTTGTTGATACTAAAGTTAGACCAAGTTCTGAGCATTCGGGGTTATTGCAAAGATTTGGGATAGATTGCAAACCAAAATCACTATAACATATCCATGGGCCTTAATTTTAGAGTTTGTTAGAATACAGGAATACATGGGCATTCCTTAGCTACTTTACATCAGTGATAGTGTTGACATAAATATATCGAAAGCAAGTCTGTGTTAAAGATTGTAATATTTATTCGACAGATATGTTTCCAATGATCACTGTGACTCCATTTATCAGTAAATCGTAAATCCATTTCCTGAGAAATGCACAGCAGATTGACTTATATCCTTAAGTAACACAAGCCTGCCATTTTGGCTTCAGGTTAAGGATTCTTGCTCCACTGCAGTTTGTCGTACACATGAGAACATCTCCTTAACCCTTTCACCCCTATGTAACTTTAGTAGACTCTTCCATGCATTGTATGGATGAGTCCATTATGGTCTACATTGGTGAAAGGGTTCACTTTGATTTGGACGTACATTAAAACCTCCTTATACCGCCACCTTCTGTCCTCTGTGATTTTGGCGGTATAGCGAGTTTGGTGGTATATCAGGTTTACCGTTTTAAACCGAAGTATTCCCACACACACCAACTGAACTTTTCAAAATTGTAATTTAATGTATCAAATTGTTGAGCGTGCAAAACATACAGCTGATTACCTGGTCAGTCGACAGTCACGTGTAACAATACAATGTACACACGTACGTAACATTCCTGTCATCAGGATGTACATGTACTTGACTCAAATTGGCGGTATTTAACGAGGTCAAAACAGTTTAATTTTAGCCATTTGTTTTGGGAATATGATGGCAGATGGCAGTTTAACGGATAGCAAAACAATGGGATTTTACTGTAACTCTGAGCGCGAGTCGGCCATCATGGTTTTAATGTTGACCAGCTGGTATCTGAGTTGGTTAGAGTGATGGTATAATGATTAAAGGTCCAGGATTTGAATTTGAAAAAGAGTTTCTGATACATAGTTACAGTTTTTTGCAGTATATGGGGTTCCTTAACTCATTCATCCGTGAAGACACATTTGAACTCTTCCAATTCAAAGGTTGGAATAGTTCATTATGACATTTAAGGGGTGAACGAGTTAATTTGTCAGATAATAAAATATATTCAGTTCAGACACAGAAACATGACAACTTGAATACACAGCTCCACAGGTGTGTATTTTTTCGTAATCACTTCCTGATGGTTAAAATCCTTTCGAGAGTTTCCTTGACCATAAATTACTGTCTTTTTGCATTCAAACAGGGTGTATTTTACGAATGTTATCCGAAATTGATTTTCAAACACGTAATAATGTAAATTTCTGCACATATTTAGGCCATTACTTGGAAGGATTGCAGCATACAGATCCTGTTGTGTCTGAAGTGCAGATTAGATAACAGTATAATATATATACACAGTTTGTCTGTCAATATGTTAAATCTCTGCCGCATATGTCGAGTCGGATGTGCAATGATTACCAATCAAAGTCTGTGTTGAGAGACAACGTATTTTGTCAGACTCTTCTGAATTTAAAAGAGTACCGTATTCACTGTAATTAGCGCTCCTGTCCTGATGATGAGGGCCCTTTTCTTCTAATATCAAAATGATAATAAGAGCACCATTTTCCCCATATCTCCTTCCATTGTTGCCCTCTGTATTACAAAATATATGCTTTACATTTCACAGCAGAAAACTACATTTCCATGATGTGACAAGACTCTGTTTCTATATTTAGTATCATGAAAAGATCCCTCACCATCAGCCAGGTTTTCAAGTGCCTTGGGCACTTATTACGACAAATAGGGTATTGTGTTTATAAATGAGTTAAACCTGTCATGAGTGGAAGTCTTTTTTAAAGGTCAACTGTCCTGAAAGACCTGCACATAAGGTCACCTGTCCTGAAAGACCTGCACATAAGGGCACCTGTCCTGAAAGACCTGCACAAAAGGGCACCTGTCCTGAAAGACCTGCACATAAGGGCACCTGTCCTGAAAGACCTGCACATAAGGTCACCTGTCCTGAAAGACCTGCACATAAGGTCACCTGTCCTGAAAGACCTGCACATAAGGTCTTAAAGAGATCATTTCCGTCCTGGAACAGAGTGAACAAGACCAAAATAAAGACCATGCGTCTCAAAACAGTGTGTGTCTCAAAAGATTATTATGTTTTTATGCCTCCGCCATAAAATGGCAAAATATAGTGTTGCCCATGTCCGTCCCATCCCGTCCCGTCCCATCCATGAGCGGGGGCATTTATGCCTTACAGACATTTTCTAGTTTTTGAGAGAGAGTCAGAACATGTGTCTTAAAAAATCAATAATTAATTTGAAAGATCATGAGTTTCAGGGATTCCTAACTTAAAATATGGTGCTTGTGCAGTTCTGAGGAAAGAGTTAACTCATTCACCCCTACATTTTAAAACTGGACTTGCCCAGTCTTTGATTTGGTACGGTTCAAATGTGACTTTAACTCATTCACCCCTGAAGACACATTTGAACTCTTCCAACTCAAAGGTTGGAATAGTTCATTATGGAATTGCAGGGGTGAATGAGTTAAGGGTGGATGGGTTAAGGCCTGCTTCTCACAAAATTAAATCACTAAAATGAGGAGCATACAAGAGGCTTTTATACAGTTTGTCTCTTAATACAGGTTAAAATTGCGAAGAATTCGCTACAAGGGGAACGTTAAAATTGATCTCTTAACACAGGTGGTCTCTTTATAGAGGTGCTCCCATGAAAAGTTGGACTGTACCAAAAACTCATTTATGTGGTCGAATTCCGAAACAAGGTATTTGTTCATTTTTCCCTGTTAGGAAGGACTTAGATCCCCTAGACTATGTAATATATACATATATCATAGGGATAAGGTAACGTGACTGGGTGTGGATAAGGGTGAATCTTATTCAAATAAAAGTGCAAGATGTTATTTAACACTTACTCGCACCCATTGTCTTTGTCCTAGGGTGAATTGCATGTTTGTATTCCTCGTAGCGGGGTAGATTGTGGGCCGGATGAACTGTGGTGAAATAGTATCTTGTTGACAGACGATAGTCTGTAGTAGGGATGAGGAGTTACGAGTCTGTCTATCAGATACTGTGCTAAATCATCACAATTGTTTAATTGTGTGATAACAGTCTTATCACGATGAGGAATCTTTTACAGGTATTGGTTTTCGCACCTGTCCAGGTATGCATTTCTTACCTGTCTATGTAGGGGGTTTGGTACTGACAAACGAGGAGGATTTCGAGCTGCAGGTACCTGCATGCTAAATCAATTTCACAATGAAAAAACATTAAAGACTGTTATGAATAGAGGCCATTAAACCTGTGTTACCTATCTGGAACAATTCCTGTGTTGTGTCTTTTTTTAATAATAGAGAAACTGTCATTTTAGATATAAAACACACACAGGGGTAGTATAGGATGGTTCCTTGGGGCACAATCAACAATAGCTTCTCAGAAACAACATGTTGTGACGTCTCACACATTTTTATATTGTTTTGTTGAAAACGGAAATATTTCAAGAGTGTATCATTAAAAAAAATATTTTATAAATTTTTGACAATATTTGTTATGAGGTGTTTTTCTGTGAAAGATCATTATTTATTTTTTGCCAAATTACAAACAAGCAATGACTTCAAAATATCAAGTATATTTTCATACTTTTCTTTTTTCTTTGAGGGATTTTACCAAATGTTTCAAATATTCCAGCTTAAACTGTGCTTTATCATGAATTAATAAGACACATAGATAATTTAGAGTGAAACTTGATATATAACTGAACATGAACTGAAAAACCTGCCCTTAATAGACAGGTGGTCTCTAGACAGTGTTTTTTATAGACAGGTGGTCAGTATGGACAGGTACAGATGTTATCCTTTACATTTACTATACAAAATGACCTTTATAGTCAGGGTTGACGAATCATAGGCGACCTATGACAGATTTGAGATTGAAGGTGACCCTAAGACAGGTTTGACCATTATAGACAGGTTGGAGTGTATTCATAAGGTGACCTTTATATGCAGGTTTTATTATAGTGACATTAATAAGCAGGTTTGACTATTTCAGGTGACTGTTATAGAGAGGTTTGGCTGTTTATATAAGGTGACCTTTACATACAGGTTTTATTATAGTGACATTAATTAGCAGGTTTGACTATTTCAGGTGACTGTTATAGAGGGTTTTGGCTATTTATATAAGGTGCCCTTTATATACAGGTTTGATTGTATAAGTTGACTTTTATAGACAAATTGGACTATTTTTTATATAAATGACCTTATTACAGTAGAAATTATTTGATAAGACACATATATTGGGGAATGCAATAAAGAATGGCAATACACAAATGTATAATGTGATTTTTATAAACTATATAAATACATATTTACTGATATTTTATAACATATTTATTATTGAATTTGAAAGTTTTCATACGGTTTCACAGGTTTTGAAAATTCATCAAAAAATTATTTGAAGTTTCGTATTGTGATTGAGTTAGCGGCATTTTTCTCTTCCTGTAGCCTACACCAATGAATACACCGATAAAATCCCGCGTCCATACCTCCCCCGTGCTATATAATCAGTATTCATATGCTTTCTATACGGTAATTTAGCCGTCCCCAACCTTTAAAATCACTGTAGTAGTTACAATTTTATTAGGATATTGTTCGGTGAAATTAATTCACCCACAAA